TGGTCTTTTATCTTTAAAATGATTATCCTACATCTTATTATGTCTATTTTACTAGGGCTTACGCTTTACAATCTATATTTTAACCCCAGCAAACCCGACAGCGTTCGTAAATAATCTCACATTCATAGGAAACATACAGTGCCATTTTATAGGCACATTTTTATAAACCCTTGGAGACTGACAAGCTCTTTCGCTGTCTAAGGTTGGGTACCCATTCCAACGTGAGTGAAGTGAAGAAAATTCGTGTAAAGTGCCTTTTCTTGGTCACAACGTCGGGCCTGACCTCAAAATTACGGCAGTCTAACCACTGGACTACCGGTGCTACAAATCACCATAAGCAGTTACAAGCGTCGTAAGTCTTTAATTCCAAACTTTAATTCAGCAAACAACATAAAACAGAGAAACAATTATAACAGTTCCGATAAGTGGTACAGAATTAGTGGTCTCCGGAAAGCAGAGTGCTCGTATGACGATACTATAATGTGAACTGTTCAAATTCAAACCTCTTGCTGAAAGATACACCCTCACCCCACCCTAAAGGTCAAAAATGAAGGTGGCGAGTGGCGGGGGTGGAAATTGGAGACGAAACCAGACGACAGGACATGATTGGAGAGCACGAAAGAGGGTGTAGGAGACAATGTTAGGGAAGAATATTTTCCGTCGCTGTCAGGTTTTGAACCCGGGACTTTTTGAATGAGAGGCAGACACCATACCCCTCGACCACGACAGCCCCAGTTCACAAATTAACGTTTCTTGCACAGGACTTGTTTGGTGATTTTCCTAACTTAGTGTGTTCGTGGATGAATGTCTTTTCCACGATATCTTTAAAAAAATCCCCCAAAATCTAAGGTGATATGTGAGTTTTTGTTTGAATAAAGAGAAACAAAATAAAACGATCTGAGGTGATATTTGTGTGTTTAGCTGAGTAAAGAGAAACGAACGCATCAACACGATAAAGGTGAATATAGCGCTTAGTTCAGGGAAGAAGCAGATCAGACAGACAGAAATTGCGGAGGAAAAGAACAAGGATCTGCCAGTGGCGTCCTCTGGCCACACGCGATCTAAGGCGAGAATGCATAATTTTATGAAAACGAAAGACGGAAGAGGATAGGACTCACTACGCACACACGCACGCACACACACACACACTCTCTCTCTCTCTCTCTCTCTCTCTCTCTCTCACACACACACACACACACACACACACACACACACTCACACACACACACACACACACATATATAGTCTTTTCTAATGCGTATATGTTCGTATTACATGTATCTTCCACAAACTCCATGTGTCCAGTTTTGACTCAAATCACATTTTTTAAAAACCCAGAATTCTAGACTCAAAAACGGAGGCTATCTTCTTACCAGTGCCTGTGGTGTGAAGGTAAGGAGCTGCGCTGTCGCACGCAAAAAAACAAAAACAAGTTCGATTCCCGAGCGGGAAGAAAATTTGTTTGGAGTATCTCGGTCTTTCTGCTGCGATATTACAATATGTGTCACTCGAAGCAGAGGAATCAGGCGGTCATAATTTTTTGGGCATATTTAGTTATTGATATCATCTTAAAAGTTTATTTATTTGGCTTGCTTTTAATATAAATATACCCATCTTTTGTTAACAACAGTTGAGATACTTGCGATTGAAGGAGGTAAGCTCTACTGGTTTCAGCGGTAACATTAGAGAGAGAGAGGCCGCCAAAGTTCAGTAATTTCAATAGCTAGAAGATCCTAGACAACTAAAAAAAAAAAAACTTTTTTTTTCTTTAATCAACGTTTTGCAGTAAAATTCCCTTGTAAATGTGTTTTATATGGACATAGAAAGTGTTGAAATAAAAATATAAAAAATCTGTAAAAATTGTCAAACTGGCAGAAAAAAGACTGTTCCTTCGATTTCATTATTTTGACGAGCGCCCGATTTCATCACGATGTCTCACATAGATCTATGTTGTATCCCTCTCAGCCAGGGTTGGCCCTGATTGACAAGGCCAGATTACCTCCTTAATTATCTAAACTGTGTCGATTGGGGTTTAAAAACACCTAGATTCTATATTTAAAAGACTTCATTTTATTCAAAGAAAATTGAAAGAAAGAGGGAAGAATTCACTACATTTATTATCATCCCACAGTCTTCTCTAATTGCGAGATTAATGCTATTTGGTACAAATTCCATGATTCCAATTTTGATGTGAATCACTGTTAAAAAATAACAAGTTCCAGTGGCAAAATCGGCAGCTACGGTAATGTCAAGATTAATCTGAAACTCTACAGAACCCGGACATTGACCGTGATAAATTTCCGCTCAAAGGAAAGACTTTTCAATAGCCTTGACAGCTGTTAAAAAAGCTCACAAGAGTCAGAAGGTGGAGATAGTAATTAAACACACAATAGCACTTTGATCTGTGTGACGTTTTACCGCGTTGAAACATTATAAAATTTCATTATGAGAAAGAATTCTTATTTCCCAGGAGAGGATGAATGGATGGATGGATAGACAGATAGAGATAGATGATAGTTAGATAGATACAAAGATAAGTGGACAGATAGAAATAGATTATAGTTAGATAGATAGATACATAGATGGATGGATAGATAGACAGATGGATAGATAGATAACTACATCGATAGATACATAGATAGGTGGACAGATAGATAGATAGATGATAGATAAATAGATAGATAGACAGATAGATAGATAGATAATAGATAGATAGATCGATAGATCAATAGATATATAGATAGATGGATAGATATATAGATAAACAGATAGATAGATAGATAGATAGATGGATAGATAGATAGATAGATGGATAGATAGATAGATAGATAGATAGATTGATAGATAGATAGATAGATAGATAGATAGATAGATAGATAGATAGATAGATAGATAGATAGATAGATAGATAGATAGATAGATAGATAGATTT